TGTATAAAAATGAAACCCGTTTCGCGTTGTCACGGCATCACGTGTGAACGGCTGAACCGATTTCGATAATTCTTTTTTTTAAATGTTTGTGGAAGTCCAAAGATGGTTCTTACGGAAAAAAATATTAAGAAAATCTCTACGCTAAGGCGGTACGAAGTTCGCCGGGTCAGCTAGTTATAAATAAATATCAAACGAATTGAGAAAATGTTTTTTTTTTAATTTTCCGACAAATCTAGTAGGTAAATCGCAATATAGATTTATTACATAAAAGTAATCTCAATATTACCCTAAAAAATTATTATCTATTAGTTAGCCTATGAAGGGTCTGTCTAGACGTTTCGGAGATTATCTCAACTGGCAGATAAACATTTTTGCTATTCCTGTTTTTTTACTTAGGAAACAGATTCTTAGGTTTGTATATACTTAAAAATTTTGCCAGTTTTCATCTCATGCACCAAAACCAAATTACCTAGTGCTATAAAATGAAATTGTTATCTGCGTTAGCAACTACAAGTACTTATAACTTCAAGTTAAAGGGCTTGGTACCAATAAATATTACACCATGACAGTATCAAAATTAAATTATACGTTAGCTATATAAACCCATAGATATTGACATTCGTGACTGATTTAAGATGCAAATTAACTTGTGCACGCTACATATTGTTTCGACATACACCGTTATTGCTAAATGTTTCACATTTGACAGCCACATAAAGCATTCCCGAGTACTCTGGCAAAATTTAAATGGCCATGTTCGCGTCTGAAGAATAAAATAACATGTTAAAATACTTCAGTTAATGTAAAAACAGTTGTGTTCGTTGAAAATGGTAGTGGCAACAAAAGCGGCATAATAATGCTTTTTTGTTTAATTAAAAGCTACTTACTTAGAAATATTACTTTTTTATGTTTGTTTTTCATTCTCTTTGAAATAGCTACTTTTATAAAATGATTCATATACAGTCACAACAAACTTTATTGTTACATGTTTTATTAATCAGAGGATGAACTTATTTCAATTTAGGTACATAGAAAATGGATCTTTTTATCAAACTCTACATCTGCTGTACCTATGTAGGGTTCTAAAATACTTAATGATGAATTAAATTACCCTATACATCAAACATAATCACAATAAGTTATTTAAAATATCAATAGGTAGATTTCAGAGATGAAAGATATAATATATCCAAATAAAGTAAACCTTGTCATAATACCTATTCGTTCGGAGACATATTACTTCAATCTCATTCCGAGGCAAATGGTTATTCGTTGTAAGGTTTTTTAGTTTCCTTCCCCTAATTCCGCAGGGCAGAGTATTTTCTTTTAAGATAGCAGTAAAGACGAATCAGTTGTTATTTTAAAATAATATGTAAAGCAAATATATTTTTCAATGATTAAATAGTAATATTAGTGATTATGAATTATCAATTTAACTCCCTAGAAATGTCTATTATGTAAGAAGGCATGTTTTTATCATATTATTTACATGTTACTCTAGTTTTGAGATTACCACGTCCAACGCTTCGACTGTTAAACACATACTCGTAATGAAAGACCAACTAAAACCCCGAAACATCGTTCCCTCCTCTTTACAACAACTTAGTTAAAAAAATCTTTATAAATATTACGTACATATTTTTAGCAAGAGAATGCGAATGAATGTGTAATGAGATTCCTTATTAATTTCGATCAGATGGAATGCGTTAAAATGCCGCGCGTAGCGAATTCCAGCCCGTAGCCGTAGTATTGGTGCTCGTAGCACCGTAGTGGGGATTTTGGAATGATCCATGCTTTTAATTAATGATATCAGTGATAGTTTGTTAATGACTGTTACTTTTTAAAATTTTGCGTGGCAAACACGGATCGTGCTATTTCGTGGCAAATATGAATTAATGGGGTCTTCTTTTTATGTTCTTCTTCCAATAGTTGAACTACTCGTACATAAGACTAACCTTAACGGTTAAACGTAACTTAATAAATACATATCAATTGCGACTATCTTATACGCTCTAATCATCAGCTTCAATATTTATCCTCAAAGCGATATGAATCACAATCGCAGTTAACGTTGACTTTAGTACGAGAATCACCAGGCCAAACAGCCGAAAAAAATATGAAATAGAATTTATACTCCATACGAGTAATTTTGTATTTTTGTCATTTATATTGCAAGCAGAAATAGTAGACGGGACTATTCCCCTTCCATTTCCTTCCTTACTAGGTAGGTACTGCTAAATTTCATGTAGCCAGGATCTTCAGCTGACCGCCAATAAAAACCAAGTAATGAAGGCCAGAGTTTGTCCCGGAGGACAGTCAAAAGAAATTGTAGAGTCAATTAAAACCATGATCGATCTCTAAATCGATAATTTTACAAGCAAACCTCTAATAGACATGTATGAAAAAGCCGCCGCTACACAGATTATAAACGTAAACAACGACGATCAAAAGTTGCACGCACGATATCCGCAACAAAACATCGTGTGACCCGTGGCTAATTTGGTGGTTTACGTTTCTATCCGCTACCGTGACCCAACAATGTGTGGATGACGTGGCGGCGCCCGCGGTGTGTGATTGACAGTCGCAAACAGGTAAATTACAGGTGTTTGTTGAAGCTTTCGACGGTGCAGCGATAAAAAACGCGGAGCGCCATTCATGCCGGAGCTGCCGCCCAGCCACGTACGCATTCTTTGACACCTGCACCTGGCACACGCGCTCAGCTGATTCATGTCATGACGCTTGAATTACGTGTACGAATGAAAACAAGCGGAGAGGTCATGTTTGTGCTGAAGTAACCAAACAAGGACTCACAGAAAGAAGCTAACTAGAGTTAGTGTTAGATAGTAACTTTATTGATGTAAGTAATTCATATTAGTAAAAATTGCTCAATTTTGTTATCATATACAACTTTTCAAGTGAATAAATCTAACCATCTGAAATATTATTTCAGTGTTTCGTTTCAGTGCAAAGAAAAGTCCTAGCAACAGTATTTGTTTCGCAGTATAGCGGAAGAATTTGACGAGATGCTGAACAAGATAGAAATCAACAAAATATGTAAACGTGCTACACGCTGCATTGATCGGGCTTCCTTGCGAATAAAGACACTATTTTGGTCGCTTACAAGTGCGTAAAGCGGA